GGGGGGGGGGGGGGGTGTGGCAATAGAGCAGGAAGGAGGGAGGAAAAGGGGGAAGAGAAAAAAAAAGTGGAAGGGAGAGATGGGAGCGCAGGGGTATCTATAGATTGAGAGAGGCCCAAGATGAGGTAAGGAGGGGGGGGAGTGAGGGAGGCTGGGTGAGGTGGATGAAGAAGTAAAGGGGGGGGTCAGGAGAGAGAGGAACCATATGGCAACAGCACAAATGTATTAAACTATAAATCAGGGGGAGGTTGTGGACGATGACCAGAGGAGGCAGTAGAACGCTCCTCCACTGCTGAAATCACAGAGTTCAAATATATATAAGTATCAGCCTAATGTGATTGGTGACAAATGCTATGACAAATATTCAGCAACAGCTGGACTTTAAACCGCAGAGAAATACAACGTTTCTGTTCATTTCCTATGGGAGGAAAACTGCAGATAAGGATGAATATTAAAAAAAAAAAATGGCAAGAGGACAAAAATGTCCTGACTGGAGAAAACGTTTCAATATTTCAGAGCAGACGATACAGTTCTGTATCTCAGACGTCACTGGAACATTTCTGTTAATAAAAACAAATATTTATAACTGTAACCATATTTTCTCAGCTTGGCTCATTCAGCCTCGGTGTCACATGATGTGGACCAACTCATGTGACTAATCACATCTGGGTTTTCATTGGCCCAAAGATAACCCTGGTGGGAGTAGAGTCTCGGTCTACTGTAATACTTCAACTGTCAGCCATGTGGAGATGGTCACGTTAGACACGGAACATGGTTCTACTCTGTCACAGAACATCTTATCGGTTCTTCTGTCTATAATCCACAGGGATCCTCGAGAACTCTGGGTTCATGACCTTCAAGTCCTAAAGAAGCCGTTTAAATAAATATTATTAATAATAAAAATATAATAACATGAAGCCAGAGGGGCTTTGGACTGGTTTAGGAAGTCTTTTTTTTTCAGTCATTTTACTTGAAAAATAAAGTTTGCAAGAACCTTTAAAATTGAATTTTTGATGGTTTTTAGAGAGATTTTTTTACCTGGAAAGTTTTATATGAATTGTTAAAATCACCTGATGTATGGGAAGAACGGAAAATAAACAAAATGAAGTGCTAAAATGAAGGCTCAGTATTTTTTTTTTTTGCCTTTGTCATATCACAGATATTCACTCAGAATCTTGGTTCAAAGCTTCCTTCCCAACGACAAATCAACATGTACTTTAGCAGAACCTGGCATCGAACCCCTGACCTTCTGGTTAAGAAATAACCTCTTCTTCCGAGGCGTTTGTAGCTGCTCGACTGTAATTACCGTAGGAGCTCACACACTGTCACCTTTGCAGATCTTTACTCAAACTAACATTTGTCAGAAAAACCACAGTCATCACCAAAAAAAAAGAGAAGAAAAAGCCTCAGTTTGAATCCGTTGACGATGTCAGAATGGTGTGCCCAGCCAGTGACCTGGCAACCAGCAGGGCCCAGGCCTCAGGCTCGCTCCCAGAGGCACTGACGCATACTGCAGCCGAGCAAACACGGGCAGCACTCCGCGTCAAGAAAAACACACCAACTGACAATGGTAGTAAAAAAAAAAAAAAAGAAAGAAAAAAGAAGAGCGCGGCCGCCTTTGTGAAAGCACAGAGACGTTTGGCTTGTTTCATGAATTATCCATTTCATGGATAAATGTTTTATTTGCCACTTCAGCAAAGTAACACCAAAGAGTTCAAACACTGGCCTCTGTATTCAGAAGGACAACCGTCACCAGAGTTCCTCCATCTGTCGGCTGATGAATGTTTCACCAAAGCTTTTCAAAATAACATGAGATTTCAGAGCAGGCAATCGCAGAAAAGTTGGTACGATTTTCAAACAATCAACTTGAACCTGTCATTTGTTAATATTTGTTTTGACTTTTGAGGCAAATCGGCAAGAAAAAAGAAATGTCGACGCTTGTAACGGATTCGGAAAAAGTTGGGGGACACAGGTGGGAACACCACGGGGTCAAATCCCCTTTTTATTTTTCCTGTCCTTCGACTATGGAAAACAGATCTGCTGGACAGTCTGTGGAGACAGACCTGGACCAGAGACAGGACTGTCAGACTAATGTACTCCAAGTATACCAAGACTCTAAAGGAAAAACTCGTAAATTTTAACATGCATGTCTCCAACCTCTTCATCATCTTCATTATTTGGGACAAAGAATCCAACTGTGGTTCATCTTAAAAACCAGATCAAACCGAGACTCGACCACAGGACATTTGTCTGTTGTCTTTGGTTTGATCTCAGACTGTGATTCTGTCCAGAAAACCTTGCAGTATTTCCGCAAACGACAAATCGCGAAACGCTTCCTCTGTGATCGACACAGTCAGAGGACGGGTTTGTCAAATTCAGCAGCAGACGGAGAGACAACAGTTTCTACCAGTAAATCAAGACCAGAAAGTTAAAGGGTTTGAAGGTCATGCACATTCAGCAGTGGGTTCTGTCCTTGGAGATCTCACCTCCACTCTGACCAGTAGATGGTGACGATGCTGTAATATTATTATTACGGTTTAACTTTTGAATACACATCTCATGTTGAGAACATGTTTCCACTCCTCCACAGACGGAGTGGGTTTCACCTCCTGTCAGTGAATTCTGTCACTTTAAATTCCCGTCCGTTCACCCTCAGGGGACACGGAGTAACTGGACAGCTTCCAGTGACGGTCCAGTGGGCTGGACCAACAGTAGTTCACTGACCCCGACCTCCATCCCTGATTGTTTACTCCCACACACACACACACACGTACACATGCGCATACACACACACACGCTGACAAAGACATCTAAACTGCAACAAGGTAGCTGCCATCGGAAACCATCACAGCCAAGGCCGGCTATCCATCAAAACCCATCTCCACTCAGGGATGAGGGGAGGATGGATGGAGGGAGAGAGGGAGGGAGGGAGGGAGGGAGGGAGTGCAGGGGGGGTGAGGGAGGGTGTGGTGTGTTGGGGAGGGTGTGGTGGCACACAGAGAAGATGACGGTGGGCTTCAGTAAAGGTGGAGAAGAAGAGCGCCGTACCTTGGTCTGGAGATAGTGGGGGTAGTAGTAGGTGTACTGAGGGTACATTGGCTGCTGCTCCAATCGCTTGCCCATGTAGCTGGAATCCTTAGCACTGAGGCAGGGAATGGTGACACGGGGCCGGGAGCTGCCAAGTAGCAAGCAGTGGGACAAAAGGGGGAAAGATGTCCAAGTCCTGTCTTGACTCTTCGCACCAGTGTGAGTCCAGCTGGCCAGTCCTCCAAGGAGAAGCGTGGGAAGCAGGAGCAGCGGCTGGTGGGAGCTTCTGATGAACAGTCCGGAGCCTCAGAGTGTGTGTGTGTGTGTGTGTGTGTCTCTGATGCTCTCTTACAGCTGGATCAATTATAATATTTCCCACAAGCGCGCGGAGTGAGAGCAGCAGCAGCGGCGGTGGCGTCTGTGGTGCTGGACAGTGAGGGTGAGGTAGAGGAGGAAGGAGAAGAAGGAGGAGGACGGAGGAGACGTGAAGCAGCGCAGGTGGCAGTAGCTCCGGCAGTCCTGCAAATGTTGGAAGATTGGATAAAAGGAGGAGGAGAAGGAGGAGGAGGAGGAGGAGGAGAAGGAAGAGGAGGAAGAAAGGGATGGCAAGGAAAGCGGGAGATGTTCACTTCTCAATTTAAGCTCTTTCACTCCAGTCTTTTTGCCGGAGCTTTAATCTGCCTCTCTCTCTCTCTCACTCTCTCGCTCTCTCTCTTCCTGGAGCACACTGTGAATGTGACTCTCTTCTTTTCGCTGCCTGACATATACACACACACACTCTCTCTCTCTCTCTCTCTCTCTCTCTCGTGTGTGTAGTCTGATCCGGCAGGAGCTGCGTGCCGTCCTGTTTGACAGAAGGGGAGCGATATCCTCAGCACCGGCTGCCGACAGATGCACTTTGTGCACGGAGCAGAATCGCAGGCACAAGCAGAGGCGGCGGAAAAAAAATCTCAAATCTCAGTCCGTGAAGATCTGATTGGTCAGTGCAGCTGGCTGGCTGCAGAAATGATCCCAGTTTCTTAACAAATGATTCACGTATAGAATTGTTCTTTTTTGTTGTTGTTGAGGAAACGAAAAAACAGATCCACCAATCGGATGAACGGACAATCCACGGGTTCCAGCTGGAGGATGGAGTGGAAAAAAAAGCCACAGTGACAGAGTCCCAGGTGTCCAGAGAGCAGGAGTCCCTCGTCTGCGATCCTCCCTCTTCCTGCTCTTGTAAAAATGTGTTGCTTTATTCCTTCCTTAGTTCGTTCACTCTGAGCAGCTCGCCTCGTTCCCTCTCTCCCTCTGTCACACAGTTGCTCTCTCTCCCTCTCTCTCTCTCTTTCTCTCTCTCTCGCGTGTGTGTGCCTCTGTGTCACTCAGCCTCTCTCGCTTCTTGTTTCAGTTCCTCTCTCTCTCTCTCTCTCTCCCTCCTTTTCCTCTCTACTGACAGGGTGGTAGAGGGGGGCTCGTCCTGAGGCAGAGCGGAGGAGCCTCCTCCTCCTCCTCCTCCTCCTCCTTCCAGGCGGTAGGAGGGTCTTGAGCAGCTCGGTGAGAGAGGGGATCCAGACACAGACCAGCGGGCTGCAGTGTGTTCCACAACCTGGGAGAACGCAAGGAGAGAAGAGAGAGGGGGAGAAAGGAAAGGAAAGGGAAGGAGAGGAGAGGCAACGGCAGCAGTGCGAGGAATCGATTCCCCCTACTGGCCGCGAGTGGAGCTGCAGCCTGTAAAACAGTCACTGCTGAGCCTGAGTGGTTTAACCTTAAACAACTTCTCAGGAAAGTATTTTAATGTGAAAGGTCACCAATTACAGCACTGTTATTTTTAATGGGGCTCATTGTGAAAAAACATGACACGTAACTGACACGGGTGGGCCGGGAACTTCCCACAAAGATGTCACACTTTTGAAAGGGTACTTCAGAGGCAGCTCTAAGGATTCAGTTTAGTATTTTTACAACTGTCGAGAGTCAGAGGAGAAATCTCTGAAAAAAGACCGAGGACAGAAACCACTGCTCAATGTGCAATTCACATAGAAATGTTCTCTGGTTGGATACAAAAGTTTGGTAAAAAAAAACAGAAGCAGCATCTGAAACCATGTACAGATTCATCAGTAGTCCTGGGATTAGAGCGAAGGAATCTCCAATAACTTCCTTTAAAAAAAAAGAAAACCTAAAGACTGAGTTAAGAGAACCCTGGGTCACAGGTTATACAGTCGTAGAGCTGAGCACTGATTGGCTGGCCTGCAGTCCAGATCCAACTCAAATTAAATGAGGATCAAACTAAAAACAAAAACTATTCTCAGGACGGCCTCTGTTCTAATTTTATTATCATGTCGACAAACTAAACTGCAGCTGTTGGTTTCTCAGTTTTTTGGAGAGCGTATCTTAATGTTCCAAAGCTGGGATTGTTGTGGAAACTTGAATATCTGACATGTCAGGGGAGGGGACGGATCACTGTGAACAAACGGAGCATCTCTGACTGTGGGAGATCAAAAGATGACGAGTGAAGGCACTAATCACTTGTGACTGACCATGACCATGAACATTACCAAAAATGTCTGAGTGTTTGATGCTTGATCTCGGCGCGATCAAAGACGAGGATGTAACGACGTTTGGTCCAGAAAGAATTTGACACACAAACACAGACACTCATCTGAACAGAACTGTTTCCATTCGTACCAGATAGTAAAATACTTCACCGATTTACATTTACAAAGATGAAAGTTCTTATTTAAAAAAATGTAATAACTTTGCGAATATTGAGTACTGTATTTTTTATTAATTAAATAAGGAGTAATTATAGTAATTAGGAGTGATCATAGTGATTGGTAGTGTGCAAGTAATTATGTAATTGTTAGACTTTTTTTCCATTAATTTATTATATATATATAATGTTTAGTAAAGGTGATTAAAAAAAAAAGTCTTCGAGGTTCCACCACGGCAGCACTAACGGCTTCTTTACAATATAATTTTACCAGCCTTAAAACAAACTAATGGTCAGATCCCTCAGCATATGGACACAGGCAGTAAAAAGAAAAAAAAAAAGGATGGACGAAGGCCAAGAGGGGGAGAGAGTGAGAGAAAATAAGGTGAGACATATGAGGAGATGGAAGTTGAAAGAAGCACAGAAGCAGAAAAAGGAAAATCAAATGTTTGATCTCTGCATTTGGACCCTCAGCCACCACATAAAGTCATCTCTGTATCACACACACACACACACTCACATACATCTGGTTTAGCACCTGTCAACTCCAGACCAGATCAGATCAGAGCAGTAAATACTGTACGTCTGAATTTGTCCACGTGGATTTAAAATCATGACGTGTTTGCCGTGAAGCAAAAACTTTTTTTTCCCCCACAGTGTGTGTAAATAACGGTGTGTATGGACAGTGGAATTATTGGACATACAGAGAAACTCTCATCAAACCAATTCATCCTTGGCTGTGATCACACCAGAACGACGACTTCAAACTCATTAACTTCTTCTTATATTCACTAAAATTGGTTGACGTAGGATGGAAACACCGGAGAATACTGTGAATACTGTGTACTCTGTGGTCCAATATACCATTAATATTCATTAAAGACACCATTAAGAATTAAAAGTCGGGAACTGAGACTTGACTCTGGAAACTAAAGAACTTGACCTGTGGTCCCTGAGACAACACCTGAAACCAACCTCAGAAGAAGCTGAGCCCAACCTCCAGCTGTAAGCCTATTGGCCGAGTGGAGACATATACTGTATATACATATATATACACATATATATATAAATATATGTAGATTAATTCATAAATGTTACACAGAACAGCGTGATGACAAAAGTCTATTGGCCTGATGGTAAAAAGTCAAAGGAGAGGCTGAAGAAAATGGATGACAGAAGAAACATTCCACGATATCTGAGATGTAGCGTACAGTTACTACCTTAGCCAAATACAGGAAACAAAGTCCTGCGAGTATTTTGGAATATGATGGTAAGAAAATGGTTTTGTTTTTTTTCCCCTAGTTTAAAGCTGTACTTCCTGTGCAGGCACAGAGGCATCATTTCTGAAAAAAGAACCCTTAGACATTGGCCTTTCTTTTTTATTCTTTTTTTTACCACATTTTTTGTTTTTATATATGTCTTTGGAGTTAGTCTGACTTAATTATTATTATTATTTTATTTCTTTTTTTAACGCTGCTTCATACAGGCTGGTTTTTTGCTGTACAGTATCATTGACAAAGATCAGTCTTATTTAAATCCAACGTCTCTCGTGCAGCTGAACTTACACTACATTTATGCAATAACTTAAGCGACGGCACTGAGCTAATCTTTCAAGCTTGAAATCTGCCCGCCCGCCGCCCGCTGCTGTTTTGGAGGATTTTAGAGACTTCCACAGAGAGAAGCTGGTCGTACATCTGCAGCCAAGATTGTCAAACATTTTCATACGCCACCACCATCTGCCGCTCATCTTCTGTTCTCAGGCGTCCATTGATGCTGGCTGATTCTGATTCCCCTTCTATATCGAGAGTCTGAGTGAGTGAGTCATCCACAGGAGGTGTTGAGTGGTTACTATTCTCCCCTTAAAGAATGCAGAACAGCAGTAGAACATTCCAGAGTGGCCTCTGGTCAGAGGAAGGGGTTCTAATGAGCCTTTACAGCAGCTTTTACCACCGGAGTTTTCCTGAAATTTTCTATAATATCAGCACAAATGGAGAATTTTACTGACGCGGCACAAACACAGTTGCCCTTTTCTTCATTGACTGCTCTTACAACGAGCAATAAAACGTGAAATCTGAATGAGGAGGATAAGCTGCCTTTGTCTTCCCCTTGGTGCACAAACAGCACCAAGTGTTACACAAGGTTCCCATCCAGTCAGAATTCCTAGAAAGTCTGCAACCGTGTCGACCTACAGCTCGACTCCTCCCCGAGGGCGACAGCTACTGCTGCAGTCCTGCTGCAGAGACCCAGAGAAGCCTTTGTTTTTTGCCATTTCTTGGATGATCCTAGTGTTCTGGTGTTTTCCGAGAAATGACCAGATGTTTGGAATCCAAGGGAAGGCTGGCACGGAACCAGGAGGAGCGGTGGGTGGTGCAGCAGCCGGGGCTGGAAGTGTGGAGGAAGGCGGGCGATGGACGAGGGAGTTAAGAAAAACAGGGCTCGGTATTTGTGAGAAGAAAAAAAAAAAGAAAGAAAAAGAAAGTGAAAGGAGTCTGCTGGTGTTGATCTCACAGGCCTAATGAGACCTGCAGATGGAGCTCCACTAATCACTCAACACTTGACGTCATACAGCAGGGGGCTCGTCAGGGAGGGTGGAGATCGGGCGGGTGTCTCCTTAGGGTGTTTTTTTGTTTTTTGGAACGACAGTAGAAATGTTTAAAATGAGAAAACATGAAGAAAATGGTGACGAATGAAAGCTGCTGCTGATGACAATGATGATGATGATGATGACGATGGTTGTCTTGAACTAAAAGTATGGTTGTCTTGAACTAAAAATAATATTGTGACAGTGCTAAAGCTAATGCTACATTTATTGACGATATTATTATTCCAGGTCAGAACTGTCCAATCCCAACTGTAGCTCAGCGTTGAGTGAGTTTAACAATTTTTTGAAAATATTTTTGCTTTGCGTCAGTTGTGTTTTGAAAATCTAAGTAAATCCATACTTTCTATTGACTTTATTGATTTTGGTCCAGTCTTCTTTACTTAGTGATTTTGTGACATTCTTTAGTTTAACTGTATTTTTAATTTACCTTCCAACTTTTGGTCTGAGGAGGAAACATTAATGCCCTTCAAATGACTTTATCTAAAATTTAATTATTCCTAAAATGTAACAAACAAGGTCATTCAAATCTAACAGTAAACAATGAACCACTGACATCCATGACCACAGATTACAAACCTCTGAAACTTCACACTGTCTCCTGAGGTAATCAAACACTTTCACCCCTCTGAGGGTACAGCGGAGCGGAGAACCAGAGATTATTTCCACGTCTACATGTACCACGGTCTCGTCACCTGGTTACGTCTGTTAATCTAATACCGTGAACGTCGACCTGCGGCCTCGGCTCTGAGACGGCTGATAAACACCAGGCAGATCTCCGCCAACGTGGACTCTAATGGCCGAGGAAATACGATCGCAGATGTGCACGAGTGGAAATGACTCACAGCCGCGTCGTCCTCCGCTCGGCCACGGACGGGCAACAGAGCTAAAAGAGTTAATTGGGTGCACTTACTAGCGCTCTGTTCCGAATGTGAGACGAATAAACAACAGTCTGACTCATTTCCTGACGAACGTGATCCTGACAAAAGACAGAGGTTGTGACAAATGGTTTGGTGCCAAAAGGAGGGGGCCCGGCGCGGGGGGGGGGGTACGTGTGCACACATGCTGCCACTATGTTCAAATCTGAGCCT